AATGCGATCACTTATATATCATGTTTTTATGAAAACACTTTTTTTCCAATTTTTATACTATGTGCGAAGTGTTACTAATGATGATTATAGAATCTTGTTTTAATGTTCGAATCTCACATGCGGGATCGTGAATGCGCACTGGTGAGGATTCTCATACTAGGACGAAACGGCCATCCACTGCTCCTAGGGTTTCAATAGTAGTCTAGCTCAGATCAGCTCGTGATTTCAACTGTGATAAAACAAGTTATGTTATAATTATTAACAAATAGATAAAATGAAAAGAAAGTCGACTTTTATATGACAACTAGCAGTGCACATTTGAAGGAAAATAAGACAGATAAGTTGTAGGCTAAAAAAATTACATCGAAACAACTGTTATTTTAATTCTTGACTAAGTAAGTTCAGAAGAAAAGAAGGCCCAGGACAGAGTGGGTTGGAGAATGCTGGTCGGCGGCCTATGCTCCATTGGAAGTAACAGGCGTAAGTAAGTTCAAATATATTTAGTAATCATTTGCATAACACATGTAAAGATTCAATTAACTACTAAAAATTTAAATGATTTCAATTTACATCTCCTACTATAGTATGCAAATACTTTATGGTTTACAACCAAGACTTATCAACATGAATCAATTAAGATGTCAATTTACTGTATTGAATAATACAATGTTGTAATGTGATCCGTCTTATCATTTTTGAAACCCAGTTTTATGTAAACTGACGTCTAGAAGTCTCAAATTCACAAAATATATTGAATAGCATAACACTACCGAAAATGTCACACAATTTCTACAAAAATAAAACACAATTATAATGATATTTACTTAGTATTGTTTGTTTGGATCTTCCCATTGATGTTTTTTAGGACTGCAACTGGTCAGTCTCTGAGATGCAGGTACATACAGCCGACGAGTCCTAAATAGGACGAAACATGCGTCAAACTGGATTCCAATGCTAGCCACTAGCCATCTTTGCTTACTAATTATAATGATATAACTTTAATATAAATAAATCCATCATGATGAACCAACAATAAGATAATAAGATCTATCACATGAATCGAATAATATCGCTAATCAAAATAGATAGTTTAATCATTTGATTCTATTATAAATATTGATCATTCATGATAGATCATGCATATTCTGATGAGAATATTTTTACTAATGACAAGTAATAAATAAAGTATAATTTATGTGATAAAATCTGTACATTACGAAATAATAATAAATTTTTCCGAAACTTATCCATTTAAGGTCAAGTTGTCCTCGAAAAAAATAAAACAAAGTTATAGTTACATTGATGTTAACAAAAAAATGATAAGCAGAGATGGATGGTGACTAGCAGTGGGATCAAAAACACGTGTTTCGTCCTGTTTAGGACTCGTCAACTGGATGTACTTCCACTCGGGAATTGTTCACTCCGGGAATCGAACCCAATACCATTCGCTTCAGATGACATCGCGGTATCCACCTAGCTACCGATTCTAGATAAACACTAGCTTGTGCAATATCAAAGCAATCCTCATAGAATGCACATATGTCAATAATAAACTGCAATCCTAAACATTAATGGGAACATTAAAACAACTGATAAAAAATCATGAGTCAATTGAAGCTAGACCACCATGGAAAACATGGAAGCACTGGACGGCCGTTCAGTCCTATTAAGGGACTCCTCAGCAGTGCGCATCCACGATCCCGTGCCCGCGAGATTTGAACCCAGGACCTAACAGTCTCGGAGCGAAGCCCTTAACCGATAGACCACTGAGACGGCATCCAACAGTGTTAATGTCTAACTTCAACCAATCCACGATTTTGAGCGACCGTTCACCAATTGTCTTCAGTGAGTTGATATCCAGTGCTTCCAGGTTTTTGATGGTGGTCTAACTTCAATTGACCCATGATTTCAACTATGAAAATACTAAATTCTCCACAAAACCCCCTCTGATCTATAATCATATGCTCACTAGTGACTGACTTCAAGAGATATTTCCTTGAGTTCTAGTGGGAAGCAGTGGTCAGTGGAGATCTACCAAGTCTGTTGTAGATATATCAGCTCACTGAAGAAAATTGGTGAACGGTTGCTCAAAATCGTGGATTGGTTGAAGTTAGACATTAACATCGTTGGATGCCGGCTCAGTGGTCTATCGGTTAAGTGCTCTGGGGCGAGACTGAGTGGTCCTGGGTTCGAATCTCGCTAGTGCGGTATCGTGGATGCGCACTGCTGAAGAGTCCCATAATAGGACGAAACGGCTGTCCGGTGCTTCCAGGTTTTCCATGGTGGTCTAGCTTCAATTGAATCATGATTTCAACTTTGAAAATACTAAATTCTCCACAAAACCCCCTCTGCTAGCCACTATCCATCTTTGCTTACAATGCTTGTGAAATAAGGCTATATTGATGCAATACGCACAGTATGCACATATGCCAATGAGAGAGACTGACCAGTTGCAGTCCTAAACATCAATGGGAAGATTCAAACAAACAATACTAAGTGTATTAAAAACTAAATGTTTATTTTGAGTAGAAAGATTGTATTGTATTTGAAATATCGTGACCTAATGTAAGTCATTTTTTCAGAGTAAATCAATAACTGATTATGGTAACTATGTTTGACATGAACAAATGCCCTGGTAAAGTCAGGGGTGGAGAGAGTCAGCTCTCCCTCTCGAAATGCTCTCACATGGCTACGCGTATACAGCCACTGTCAGGGAATTCCTGTTCACAGCTTTCTCGCACCACAGGTGTTGTTTACGAAAGTATGATGACGAAAAGCGAATGTCCGACACTTTAACCAGGCTGGTAGATATGGAGGATCCACATAGGGGAGTCGGAAAACCCTCATTCCAAACCAATGATGCACATTGACTCCAGGATCCTGAGGAAACAAATGGCGTATGAACCAATCGTCGGTCGCCGGCTACCATGGGACTACATCTCCTTACGTTGTTTCACTGCCTTGTGCATCAAACCTTTAAATCGAAGGCTCCGGGAGTGGCCCCTAAGAAAACCACCTGCTTCTGTCTTGTCACATTTGAAGCGATTGCGAGTTCCGTAATCTGAGAACGGAACAAAGATTCTGTGACTAAAGACCGATAATCTAGCTATTCTGATGCGTCCAAACCCCGCCAACTAGAGTGAGAAGTCCAGGTCTGAAGTGGGGAAATATATTCCGCAAGCGGCCAGAAACACAAGCAATCACAACAGGCACAAATCAAACGTATATATACAACACAAAATTGTCTTTTTGAAGCTTTACAAAACAACATACTAAAAGACACAACGAAACCAAATGGGAAATACGGCATGAAGGTTTTTGGCGCGAAAACAAAAAATTCAGAGTTTTAAAATAAAATTACAAGAATAAGGCATTTACCAAGTGAATTCTGGGGATCTAACATTCCCACTAGGTCTGGGCACCCAGGCAGTATTACAACCCACACAAAAATCAAGTGATTTGTGTGGCGCATATGTATACGGTGCCCTATTTTATCAATGTTTATTTGTTCAAATAAATAATAATATATAAATATTCAAACGTACTGTGATTTCGACTGTACGAAAAATATTCTACATTCTTTCTTTTCGACTATTTAAATTTGTGTTAGTTTTATCCTGATTATTTATTTACTCTGAAGAAATGGCTTACATTAAGTAACGAAACGTCAGTAAAACAATTTACTACTTATTGAGATATCATGAAAAAGAGAACAAACATTTATTATTAAATCTTTACCCAATGATCAATTTATTTGAAACTATCAAGTTTAACCTTAGCATTGATACCTTCAAAAAGAATAACTGGTTTACCGATTGAAACCTTCAATTTTTAACTGTTAAATTCATAAGTTCAAACTACATCTACTCCATCTATTATTATACAATTTTGACAGATGGAATAGTATCACTTTGATGCTTGGTATCTGACTTCAATTATATCGGATGAAGATGTTATCGACGAGGTAATTGACGTGTTCATCACTTCTGTGGTCAACTGATCTGACTGCAATTTGAATGAACGTATTGGTAAGTTATGAACATAAATATTCCATTTAACTCTGTATATTACCTAGACTAACTCCGTCTGTGTGATGGTGGTAATAAGAAGCCAGATACGGGCTGTGTTAGAGGAATTGATTTCAAGTAAGAAGCGAGAGAGTGAAGAGGAGAAGGCAAGTGAGACAACTCGTTTTGATAAAGAGCAACTTAATATTTGTATTCAGACAAAAATAAATTACAGATATGTAATGAATACGGTATGAGTAATTAACACATATACGATCATATAAAAACATTCAAGGTTAGTAAGCGAATAATTAACAGGGTCAAAATGTTATTTAACATGAATAAATAAGTCGGATTGTTCGGAAGCTAGAACAATCTATGTGAACTTGACATAGGACTAGACACTACATCACCATTAGTCACTATCACAATTAATAAATAATAGAAAAAAACCTATCACAAAGTCAAGCATACGTGTGTTCGAATATGATCAGTGAGTTTATTCTACCATGTATTGTGGTTATGATTTAATTCATAGAAATTTATATTCACAAATAATGAATATAAACAAAATGAAATTTAATTAAGCAATAATCATAGTAATAATTGCGATCATGAATCGATATTAGACCACCATTGAAAATCTGGAAGCACTGTCAAGTGGAGACAGGTATCTACCCCCAGACAACAGAAGATAGTCGTGCAATTTCGTGGATTGGTTGAAGTCAGACATTAACACCGTTGGATCCCAGATCAGTGGTTTAGAGATTAAGCGTTTGTGCGCGAGATCGAATGTTCTGGGTTCGAGCTCCCTTTGTGCAGGATCGTGGATGCGCACTGCTAAGGAGTCCCATACCACGAAAAAACGGCTGTCCAGTGTTTCCGGGTTTTCGATGGTGGTCCAACATTGATCGATTGATGATCTCAATAAAAAACATAACAATCTCCACAACCCCTTACTAATACTAATGATAATAATAATAATCAACTTACAGCTTTTTCTGTGATTAAAATTAAAACATCATTGCCATTGCATGCTCCAATTTTCCATTTATTTCGAATATTATTTGCGTATTGTACGATTGATGCATTTTTACTTTAACAATGAGAACGATTCAAGTTTAATTGAATTCAAGATAGAGAAGAAAAAATGCCGAATGAAAAGTTTCAATAGTTGAAGAACATTTGAAGGAACACAAACAATGTTTAAAAAACGTTCCCAAAACGTCGGTTGACTTAAGGAAATTTGAGAATAAGTCTGCAATAGCGTTACATGCGTTGGAAACGGGACACATGATTAATTTTGAAGCGGCCAAAATACTTCAAAAAGGATTCAACACTCATAAAGAAAGATTGACAGCAGAAGCGCTGTATATATGGGCGAATAAGAACGGCCCAAACAGAAAGGATGGTATTCAGCTAGCTACCATTTGGCAAATATTCATCAACAAGTAATTTGACCTTTTCTTTTATTCAACCTGTCTACTTCACATGAATCGTTATTATGACTGAAATCAATATGAGTTATGTTTAGCATTACATAATTATGTACTTGATGATGATTCTCATTTTATTTGCAATTTCGATGTTTCCGAAAAAACTTTTCAACCTTCATTTTGCACTTTTATTCTTATTTTTACTTCACATAGAAACATATCAACACTGAATATCATTCATTAATAACTAATCTTACACATACATACATACACACACACAATTCATCCAGTCTCCTTTAATTCACATCGTTGAACTTTTCACTTGATTCTCATTCAACTGACTCATATTATCCTGTTTACAAAAAAACTTCGACATTCAAATATGATTGGATTAAAAAGTAGTAGAGATTTTGATGACATGATTGTTAAGCATAAAACATGTATATTTCTTTGATGATTTTGATTATTTCCCTGAAGAAGTCCAGACAAGTTAGCTGGACGAAACGTTGGAATTATTTATATTTCAATCGCTGAGACTATTTGAAATATAATTTTTTCACATATAATGAATTTTATAAGTTAAGTGTATTTTCAGTTCGAAGACAATTCTTGGCGAGAATATAATTTATGAACGACCTTTGGGCAACATTATAATGAACATGGAATGTCCTTCTACTCAGTAGGGTTAAAAATTGGTGTGAGGAATTAGGATTTACACTTGAACGTTAGACTTAAGTACTAGATTTAATGTTTTCATCATGAACTTACAAATCTAAGATCTACTATCTTAAATCTGATTGGTTCACCCACAAATTATAATCTCACTCTTTTTTTTCATAATACCAACAGCAGTTAAACATTCAATGAAAATCAAGAATTATGTGTTTCTTCCCAAATTTCGATCTTTTAACAAAGTGAATTTGTGATTCCATATGGGATTAAAACTTAACACCTTTATGAATGATACGATAATAATATTCAGTTGGTGAGTTGCATTTTGAAGGGACTAGATTGTCCATTCCCAATCCAATTATCACAGCTTCTGACCAGGACATTTGTAGATCCATCTTGAAATTAACCAATAATCATAGCACGAGAGTATCATTAAGCCAGGGTACAACTGATTAATTATTGAGTAGAGACCAATACTATGTATGTCTAGCCCTCTAACACTGACCGAATCCTATTGATCAAGTTACAGTAGGGCCATTAGTATAAGTGACTCAGTACTGAGTGGACGATTGTAAGATAATAGATAGCTAGCCCAAACGTTGGACCCAAGTCTCGTGTTGGTTGGAACTCATCAGCAAGGTATTCCTGTTATCTTGAGAGGACTGATGATCTCTGTGGGATTTCCAAACTCGTACCACCCAGTTCCAAAAACTGAGACGTTTCCATTGAACTTTTTGTGCTGCAACTGAGATCTTATAGGACCGAGATAATAAAATTCGATTGACCACCGAGTAATGACCAATAAATTTGTCTAACCCTTAGTATTGATTAGATTCCATCAAACAACTCATCCAGGTGTGTTGTGTAGATATCTACTTACTTCAAAGATAGTTCTTTTATCTGATTAGTACTGGTTAAAGAAAAACTAGTGAATACTGGACAGCTGTTTCACCTACGTTCACACTTCTATATAAAGAATAGAGAAAATTGTATGACCATGCGTTGTTCAGTTTTAATTACCATTTTTTATTCAACATAGTGATAAATATTGACCAGATTGAATCTATGAACAACAAGAAAGGCGTATCGCCATACCCAATATGAGTAAATGCTAATTATTAAAAACATTTATTTAACAAGTTGCAATGTGAGATACAATTCATTGATTAGTTAACATCACCTTGTAGTACGTATTTGCTGGCGGAGTAAACAAAGAACTTTGAAGTTTTATACAAAATTTATTGACGAAGTACAAATATCTATATTCGGCTTAAAACCAAACTTTCGTGATACGAAAGCTAGTGATGTTATCTGACTGACTGAATCATAGTGGAAAAAGTGGGATTCGAACATTAGGCCTAATACCCCAAAGCCGATTACTTTAAACACTAAGTCACTGCATGAATTCTTAAAATCACGAAAACCAAAGAAAATAAATATACACGAATAATAGAGTTAATCTTATTTGATTTATTTTCATGCAGAAAGATAGCAGGAAATGTGCAAACAAGGATAGGAGGAATATGATGACATTACTGTTGCATCGATAACTGCAACGGTAAACCGAAAAGTGAGTAAAAAAAACCTAGATTTACGAAACACAAAGTGAAAAATACATATCAATAACTTTATAGAGTTGAGATCATGAGTCAATTGAAGCTAGACCACCATGGAAAACCTGGAAGCACTGGACGGCCGTTTCGTCCTGTTATGGGACTCCTCAGCAGTGTGCATCCACGATCAGGCCTCGCGAGATTCGAACCCAGGACCTATCAGTCTCGCGCGCGAGCACTTAACCGATAGACCACTGGGCCGGCATCCAACGGATGTGCACTGCTGAGGAGTCCCATAATAGGACGAAACGGCCGTCCAGTGCTTCCAGGTTTTCCATGGTGGTCTAGCTTCAATTGACTCATGATCTCAACTCTGTAAAATTACTAAAATCTCCACAAAACCCCTTCTGATACATATCAATAACATCAAAAATACTAGGTAACTTACTTTGAAAATGGTTTCGAAACTAGCACTGTTACAACAAGTCTAGCATTTTGACTAACTTCATTTCTAAAACACGGATGACGACATAAACATGGTGTTTCTCGAGGATAATGTAATAACAATTCATTTATTGATTGTCCTAGGAAAATATTTTTTAAAATTAAACATTAAAAAAACTTTAGGTTCAACGATATGACGCTGAAATATTTGAAAATATTGAGATATGATTATTCAAATTGTACACTAATCACTTAACAATATACCGAACCACTTCGTGGCTATTTGGTTTGTAAATAGTAGGAGCAAACGACAATAGTTGAGCTAAATCTTTAATCATATTGATCACTTACACTTACAACACTACAAAAAGGAACTAAAGAGCCTCTTAAGTAAACCATAATAAGGAGGTTTTGTGGAGATTTTTAGTAATTTTTTTATATAGTTGAAATCATGAGTCAACTGAACCTAGATCACTATGGAAAACCTGGGAGCACTGAACGGCCGTTTCGTCCTATTGTGGGACTCCTCAGCAGTGCACATCCGTTGGATGCCGGCCCAGTGGTCTATCGGTTAAGTGCTCGCGCGCGAGACTGATAGGTCCTGGGTTCGAATCTCGCGAGGCCTGATCGTGGATGCACACTGCTGAGGAGTCCCATAATAGGACAAAACGGCTGTCCAGTGCTTCCAGGTTTTCTATAGTGGTCTAGCTTCAACTGACTCATGATTTCAACTATAGAAACCATAATACTCAAAATAAAAACTCACAAAAACAAAAATGAATAGATAGGAAACAAATAAGCATATGACTAAAATATGTTTAGTTTACAAGAATACTACACCTTTTGTATAAGCTCTAGGGAATTCAACCCACTGTTAAAAAGAAAATTAGGAAAAAAAGAGGGGGTTTAGAACTGTAATCCCTAGTAGTTGGAAACTAAAAGCTCTAACTATTAAATCATTACAATAAGGGGAGGGGAAAGAATCTTGAAATGTTAATAATAAATGTTAATAATTAATTAAGTAATAAACCATTAAGATCTATAAATCTGGCTTTATATGTTTTTTTTTTATTGAAACACTGACAATACGACTTTAGTATTCATCATGCTGTACTGATGCATTATGGTCAGTTAAGTCGATGTACATATATTTCAGGATCCACAATGTTAATTTCTAACTAAATTGCTTTTGTGAGGGCCATTAGCGATAAATATATATAAACTAGTGAATCCAAGCATTAGAATCGATGAGTAGAGTACTTATAAATGATAATTTCAAGTGTTTAAAATGAAGTATAGCATGAAAAAGATGTAAATCAAAATGACCTGAGAAGAAAATTTTAACGATTTTTTAATTCTAGTTTCTAGTTAAAAAGAAAATAGGCAACGCTTAAAGTTGTGTATAAGTTTGTAATCATTGAGATTTTATAGAGCTTGAAATGTATATTAAACAGAATGACTCTAACTATAATCTACTGGGTTAACTATGCCAATATTCAAATAACTTTAATGTATTAGAACACATCTACATTATTTGAACAAACATTAGAATCTAACTTGTGACCTTCAATTTGAAATGATTTTAAAACATTGTACTGGACAGGTAAAAGTACTCCACATTTAACAGTAGGGTTATAGGTCTACAATAAACATTTTTTCATCAGTATAGGGTGGTGTAGATTGTTGAGTTTGGATTGATTTCAAGAATGGATCAATGTTAGATCAACATTGAAAACTTGGAAGCACTAGACCACCGTTCCGTCCTAGTATAGGACTCATCAGCAGTGCACATCCACGATCCCGCAATCAGAAGTCAAAACCAGGACGGTCAGTCTCGCGCGCGAACGCTTAACCTCTAGACCACTGGGCTGGTATCCAACGGTGCTAACGCCTAACTTTAACTAATTCACGATATTGCACGACCATCTTCATCGAGTAACTGCCCCACAACATACACCGTTGAACTCCACTGGTCATGGCTTTTCACTCCAACTCCAGGAAATCGGTCTTGAAGCTAGTCACTAATAAATTTTTATTTTATTTAAACACATAAATATTGGTACAAGGAAGCACCAGATATATATGCGCCACACAAATCTCATTTGATTTGTGTGAGGGCTGCGATACTGCCCGGGTGTCCAAACTGAAGCAGGTGGTTTTCTTAGGGGGTCACACCCGGAGCCTTTGACCTAAAGGTCTGATCCACAAAACAGTGGAGCAACATAAGGAGATGCAGTTTCATGGTAGCCGGTGACCAACAATTGATTCATACACCATTTGTTCATTCAGGATACTGGAGCCAGCCCATGTGCACCATTGGTTTGGAATGAGGGTTTTCCAACTCTCCTAGGTGGACTTTCCGTGTCCACCAAACCGGTTAAAGCGCCGGACATTCGCTTTTTGTCTTCTCAATTTCGCAAACAACACCCGTGATGCGAGAAGGTAGTGAGTAGGACTTCCCTTGCATAGGCTATATACGCGTCGCCATGTGAGAGATTTTCGAGAGAGAGAGCGGACTCTCCCCACTCTCGGCCATACCAGGGCATTTGGGGGCAGTCACTAATGAACACATGATACTAGGACAAAACGGCCATTCAGTACTTCCAGATTTTCAGTGGTGGTCTAACACTGACCCATTCATGACATTAATCTTTTTTTCAGTTGCAACAATAGGGTAGTAAACTTGACGCTTAACATATACATATACAACTATGACTTGGAATCAAGTACACATATCAATGAACTTCCTTCCCAAATCAGAACAAAACATTTGCATATATTTTTTGTACGAAATTTTAATAGTAGTGATAGTAGTAGTGTTAATAATAATAATAATAATAATAACAATAATAATAGATTCCATTTCGGTATGTAACTAAAAATTACATTCCAATAATATGGAATGCTTTTCAAGGATTGATTATAATCAATGGTGTTCTTTAAAGAAAAATGTTGCGTTGTCTTTCTTTTTTTTAAGTAAATATCTTCGATATATATATACCATAAATGCCACTACCATCTAACAGATGACTTCATCATATGATAGTTAACACATGAGGATTTGATAACGATTAAAGATGAAAACCTGTTACATACTATCCTTTTAAAATATAAAACAAGGATTATGCCATAGCTTTTTGTTAATTTTAACTTAGAAAATACGTTATGAATTATCATTTGTAAACCATTTAAAATATGAGTAAGAGAAGTCAGTCAACCACAACGTAGAACTTCGTACGTACGTACATCAGTTCCAGTTGCCATCCCACATTAACACAGATGCAGTTGTCGATTCAAATCCCATAGTGGTAAAAGTAGTAAGAGTATAAGCAGTAATCGGGAAGATTAGGGGTTGAAGATGTTATTAAAGGAGTAAGAGAAGAAGAACATGGAGTACAAATGCTAATCAACATTATTGATATTGGCATTATTATTATCATTATTACTGCTTTGATATGGGGATTAGGAGATTATTTTGTTGAATCTAAGGTTAACTGTATGATTTGTTGGTTTAAGCTTGATCACATCAAAAATATATTACTACATGGCGTAATTTGAAAATTAACATTTTAACTGTAAACTCAAGGCAGAAATCACATTACTGTCTGTAAATGTAGAGCGAAAAAATGAATGTATAACCAGTATTTAGCACTTTTAAACATTTTATCTTTTGATACTTTAATGGAGGGGTAAGATTAGTGTTATGTCCTTAGCTCATACGATTATTGCGAAGACATACGATTGCCAATTTAGATATTCTGACTTACACGATCAAACTAATAACGCATACACCAGTAAAGGCAGCCTAGAGTCCCGATTGGTTCTTTTCCGCCTAACCCTGCCTATTAAGTCCAGAATGCCAATATCAGCCTCCGCTATACAAATCACATATTCCAAACAAACTGGGTTTATATACGAAAAAATCAGATTACAACACACCATAAAATAGAAAATAACATTTGTAAAAGATATAGCCGGAAGTGGATGTGATTGTGAGAAACTGTTACTAATAAATTGGGAATATCTCAGGAATAGTAAATCATATGATAATAGTCAATAGATCAAATAAGAGCTTAAAAGAATAAAACGAATATGAATATACACATAATATAGTCACTTAATAGCCATACAATATGAATATTCGTATAATATTAGTCCATAAGTAATTACTAACGGTTACCATTCATTTATTGTCATCCGCATATAACAATTTCAACTAAACTCATAATATTGAAAACGTTGATTAGTCTTGGAAACTTTCCGATGGAATGTATGAAATCTAGAACCATGATGTTTTGCCGACTGTTTCTACATATATACTATCAATTATTGCATATTTTTGACTATTCTGAAGTTGTAATGCCCTGGTACGGCTGAGAGTGGGGAGAGTCCGCTCTTCCTCTACAAATGCTCTAACATGGCCACACGTATACAGCCTCTGCTAGGGAAGTCCTACTCACTACCTTCTCGCATCACGGGTGTTGTTTACAAAACTGAGAAGACGAAAAGCGAATGTCCGGCGCTTTAACCGGTTTGGTGGACACGGAAAGTCCACCTAGGAGAGTTGGAAAACCCTCATTCCAAACCAATGGTGCACATGGGCTGGCTCCAGTATCCTGAGTGAACAAATGGTGTATGAATCAATTGTTGGTCACCGGCTACCATGAAACTGCATCTCCTTATGTTGCTCCACTGTTTTGTGGATCAGATCTTTAGGTCAAAGGCTCCGGGTGTGGCCATCTAAGAAAACCACTTGCTTCGGTTTGGGCACCTGAGCAGTATCACAGCCCTCACAAAAATCAAATGAGATTTGTGCGGCGCATATGTATCTGGTGCTTCCTTGTACCAATATTTATGTTTTTAATAAATAAAATAAATTATTTCTTCAATCTACAAGAAGGGCAAACTATAGAACTATAGATTATTACAAATTTGGTTGTCTATCAACTCATCAATACTATTTATTTGCATAGCAAATATAGCTTAAGATTACACATATCTATATCTAATAATAATTTTATTCAGATAAAATTTATGAAAATTATGTAAATTCAAACAGCATGTTTTAATTCATGAAAATTGTCAGTTGTGAACTTATCAATCAATTAGCATCCATGGTGTGAAAAGAAAAAAGAATTCAAGTTTATTGAGTAGCCTCCATATTTATGATGATATAATGTTGGCACCCGTGAAATTTAGATAAATGAAGAGTTTTCTTTTAACCTAATACAATTTGTTTATCAACTAAGCGTAAGTATGTACATAATGTATATAACTCGATGACGACAATACACTTTCCTTTATATGTTACACCAATAAATTTATAATGAGAACTAAACACGTTAATATATTTCATCTAAGAAATATATTAAGAAGCTACAAACAATCTTAAATGTCAATATAAGAACATTATAAATTTTCACAAGGACTAATAAGTGATCAAATGTGTCAATGTAACCCTAATGGATTGGTGTCTGACGAAATCTTAGCACGGATTCAAAAAGCTCGTTTGACTTTTGCCAACCTACGTCACCTATGGTGAAGACGAGATATCCGTCTATCAATTAAGGGACGAGTATACTGCACAGCAGTTCGCTCTATTCTACTTTACGGCTGTGAAACATGGTAGAAGATACTCGTAAGCTACTAGTATTTGACCACAGATGTCTTAGAAATATTGATCGCATCTCCTGGGATAACCGGGTAAGTAACAGTGAGGTTAGACACAGGGTATTAGGGAATTATGGTAAATCAGTTGATGAGGTCATGAATCTTCATCGACTGAGATGGTTGGGCCACGTGTTACGTATATCTGAACACCGATTACCCCGACGCGCAATGCTGACTAGTGTAGGGGATGGTTGGAAGAGAGTTAGGGGCGGCCAAACCAAAACATGGCATCAGTGCTTGAATTCACTAACTTCTAGTCTGAGCCATGTTGGCAGATGCAGACTACCTGGTTGGGGCCCACGTGACTAGCGTAACCGATGGTTGGAGACTCTGGGTGACATGGCTCAGAATCGATCACAATGGCGTAGGCGTATACACTCTCTATCTTCCCTTAAAATTAAAATTGCTTCGTACCTGTCTTCTTCCTGTCCTTATATACAAGTAAGTAGTCGACGCGTTCGACTACTTCACTCCCTATCCTTAGTTCAGGTGCTGACTATTTGAAGTGCGTAAAATTCGGAAAACTTGTGTAATAACCATGGAGTTTTATTCAATATCATTCGAATATAATGAATAATCTTTGCTCTATATGAAATTCAACTTAAATGGTAAACAATAAGTAACTTAGTCAGTCAGTTACAACGTAGGACCAGGCACACATATGCATCGGTCCAAGTTGCCATACCTCGTTAGTCAATAACAACAAAAAAGATAACAACATTGTGAGCAGAGTACATAGTATTGAAATCATCTTCACTATTTCAAAATTACTGGGTTTATTAATTCAATCAAGTGAAAAGTGCATTTTCACAAAAGTTCCAAAACAAAAATATGAAATGTAAGAATGTAAAACCTTTGAATGAAGTTTATTTCAGCATTTTAGGACACCCAACACATTGAATACAAAAATATAACACATCAATGAAATTTACATATAACACCTAAATCATTTTAAATCATTTTAGCAAAATTCTTTGCTCTTTGTTTGACCTGAAACTGGTTCACTTGCCAATTTACATAAATGGACATGTTGACATGATCCCGACATCAAGAGTAAGATTATTGGTTAATTTAATATGATAATCGTTTAATTTAACGTTCGATTATGCTTTGACAATTTCAGTCATTAATTAGTTCAGTATGTTATCCTCTTACAACCTGATAATTTCTATTGTATTCACTCAGTTTGTGACATTTTTTAATGTGAAGTCTGTCTTTAAACTATAAATATTTAACCGCGTTTCAGAGCCATGCGCGAGGTAGAACCTGGAACATGTTTACACCGACTGAAGTTGTCACACCTCATTAACAAATTGAGATGAAATTATCAGGGTAAATCCTGGAGATATAGATAGTAACAGTAATAGTGATAACAGAAAAGACTAGGGATCGAGATTTACGATTCGAAAAGATAATCCGAATTAATAGTAAAAAAAAACTTTATAAGGCAATTTAAAAAAGCTTGGGATTTAAGGGGAAATAAAAAGTTAATGCACCTCTGACATTGTGAGCGATTTTGAATCATGTCTCTTACTGTACAACCGTCGGCTATGATAATCACGCAGACTGCAACCAGGTAGTCTACATCTACTCAATAATTACCGGAAAATTTTCTACATATCAAATAGCATTTTCTCATAAAATGTATTCGTAGCAGTGGCAGTCCAAGCTTTCTCTCCATTTCGTCTTCTTAATAGTTTGTGGATTAGGTCAAGAGTATTGGAGGAATACGTTTAAGGATTACTAGTGTGTGTTCACTTAGTTGAAATAAGATGCATTAACTGGCTGCGTTAATATTTCCGAATAACTTAGCAAAAAGTAGACAAGAGGAAACTAAGAGAACGAAATTCATCAGCGATATTTTCATTAATCTAGTGTTCTAAGAACTGATTTAAAGAGGCTAGAAACAACAATTCAACCAGATATAATAATTATTGGAGAGTGAAGTGACTAGATTAGAATTGACTCCAAATGCCCTGGTACGACCGAGAGCGGGGAGAGTCCACTTTCCCTCTCTAAATGCTCTCATATGGCCACGCTTATATAGCCTCTGCCACAGTCCTACTCATTACCTTCTCGCACCACGGGTGTTGTTTACGAAATTCAGAGGACAAAAAGCGAATGTAGACACGGAAAGTTCACCTAGGGGAGTTGGAAAACCCTGATTCAAAACCAATAATGCATATGGGCTCCAGTATCCTGAGGGAACAAATGGTGTATGAATCAATCGTTGGTCATCGGCTAACATGGGACTGCATCTCCTTACGATACTCCACTGCCTTGTGGATCAGACCTTTAGGTCAAAGGCTCGGGGTGTGGTCCCTTAAGAAAACCAACTGCTTCAGTTTGGGCACCTGGGCAGTATCACAGCCGACACACAATTAAATAAAATAACATATTTTGTGTGGCGCATATATATCTGGTGCCCCTTTGTACCAATATTTATGTATTTAAATAAATATATAAGATTAGAATTATATTCGTTACCCTGAAAGAACCCTCTTAATATTTTTGTCGTTATTATACATTTCTAACGATTTGGTTCACATTTCGAGTGAGAGGAAAGTGCAAACATACGGATTAGCTCATTTTCAAACAATCAGTCCTGATGAAAGCATAAAGGTACCACAAGCTTGATATGTTTTATATAGACATTTGATTTTAAATCCGAAAGTGCACACTGCAAGTGTCCGAAAGTTGTAGAATACTTCCGAAGAGAATCGAGAGTTCTGGCTATGTTCTCGACATGGGACGACTGTTTGAAAAGTCATCTCATTAGTTTAGAACATATTCGACAGGTACGTTCCTGAAATGTTATGACTCAATATCGGGAGATAAAAAGCGAGACAGGGGAAGTTATTCTTTAAACAAAGTCTTTGTTAAAGCTTAACGTCTAAAAACTATGAACACTAGCTTTTTATGTTAAAAAAGACAACGAAACTGAAGTGACTCACTAGAAGAATAGTCGAGAATTTTATCGGGATCACACACGTATCCCTTTTTGTCGAGTCCACACTTCTTGAATTCTGATGAATAAGGACTGGGAGGGAATTCGAAATCAACATCTGAACCATTTGAATTATCAATTAACAGAATTAAACTAAAATGCCAAGCAAGAAGGCTTTTGCGAAACATTTCATTTAGATTATGAACGGGATCTGTGGAAAAGAGTATACAAAATAACAGCGGTTTGTTTTAACAATGAAAGTGAATAGAACGGAATATATATGAATTAATACATGAGGCATTTAAAAACATAAATTGTGTACAGGCGTGTGTAGTGAACTTTGCTGTATTAAATCAGATTCTAGTGTAAAAATTTCATTACTGGAAACTTATTTACTGTTTACTACTCACACTTAATCCCATGTAAACAAAAACTTTAAAAGCCAAATTAAACAAGTCTTCTGTATCCTTACTAATTAATTTGAGACACAAGATGGGCTAAATTTTCTCAGCTGTTTTGTTAAATGTTTGGCTATAATAGTAGAGAATACATGGTTTTAGCTATTCCTCTATTATTCGCTAAACTCACCATCCATGAATCTCAAGCAAGTCACCTTATATGCATATACAGAATTTTATGCCTATTGAGACAAAAATAGTATCTTAAAGTTATGTTGAAAACCTAGGATGAAGAGTGTGATCAGTTAGGTGGATCACTTTAGGACGCTCAGATTGTTGTTCTGAGTTCCTTTCAGCCATTACGACTTGAGTAGTCCAGTACCAGTCTTTAGATATATATGGCTCAGTCGAACATACGAACCGAGTAATACAATGAGTAACTAACACTAGTGAATCCGAATAGCCAGAGCCTACACTCGAAAACAAGGACCCTTCTCTTTTCAACGAAACAAGGATAAGCAATACTAATCAATAATGTTAAAAAAATTTGAGGTGATTTTTGTTTATTTCATGCTATTCATTTGCCTGGAATTTTCTTATGCTTGAACCTCTTAATAAAATGAATCATTCTTCACTGGATAAAATATTTATAAAAGCTAGTGTTGACAATGATAAGCAACGGAAAATGCACTTGTCATTTTACGAAACAATTGAAAATACTGCTATCAACTACTTCACGTCTGTGAAGGGATATGAAGCGAACTGTCACAGTGAGTGAGAAAGAAAGAACATTAATACCTGATATTGCAACAAAGCTGTTTGTCTCAAGTTCAATGGTAGACCAGGTTTACTGAGATAAGAACTGTTTCTGAAATAAACTCACTCGGTAATAACTCTAACACTTAGAGGACAAACAGAAATTATGTACCAAAGCGAATACGGTCACTTGGTGAGACTATGATTTATGAACGATCTTTGAGTGAGGCCAGGCTGACTTTGAGAATGTTCACCCACTAACTAGGACCAAATGAAGGTTATAAACTTATGTGAGGGATTCGAATTATGACTTACAGTTGATGGTTAACGTTAGGAATTAGATTTAGGGTTTTTATCACGAACTGACACCAACTAGAATGCCAAAACTCTACTTAGCCAAATAGATGGGTGAGTTTCACGCCAAAATCCGAGACGTGTTATCCTACACGTGATTGGTTCGTCCATAAATTATAGTCTCGCCTACTACTATATTGTAATCTAACAAGCAAAGGCATAAACACACTAACTACGCGTTTTTAAAAAATTAACAGCTTTGAAAATCCCTGAATGAATAGTCAGTTGCTCGACCGAATCGTACTAAAATTACGAGACTAGAATACAATATGATGCCATGGTCTTAAGGAAACATACAATCATTTTAAATAAAGACGGAGAATGCAGAGATACATTTTGCACTACATATCCTAAATCAACTTTTTTAGATTATACAGATTGGAATAGACGTGGACTTCATACAAATAATTCTAAACTTCGCTCGGATGTCGTCCTAAAGAATTCCATGACCGGTTCCTTATGTGTAGTAGTACGGTCTTCAATGCGTATGAAATGAGTCTACAAAAATATCGTCTGAATAACGGAACATTGAAACCATTCTTTACTATAAATACAAGGGAAAACTTAAATATTGACAATGAGGATATTAAACAAGTGATTGACAAAATGTTTGAAATACTAGAATGAAGAGCACTAACTTATTTACGTACTAAATGTCTCAATACTTTCTATCTTCCAAAATTTTACGCTATAATAATGAAGGCTCTATGAACAATTTATTTGACGTCACATAATGTATAAAGTATATCACGAAATCACCAAAACGAAGGGGACCCCCCCCCAACAACCTTCTTAAACATAGCGCCGTGCCCTTAACAAACTGATTTTTTATTCTATCCTTTAAAACACCGTTGAAAACACGGTTAGATTAGAGAAGAAACAGTTCCGTTTCAAAATGAATTACATTTTCAAATGTACTCCTCATGTAAGATATCTTGTTTTTTAAGTATGCATATCTTATGAGAAGCTGTTAATTTCAATTATGATCAATATAAAAGAAAATTGATTGGACAAGTCTCCAGTGGGTTCTTCTTTGAAGAGTGATATTTCCTGCCTCATGTTATAGAAACGTCCTGCATAATTTGCGTTTATGGGGTGATTTTGAATGCCGCAAAAGAGCGAAATTTCACATGATGTTTTGTCAGAAAAGCCAGGGGATTAGACAGTTTACCCCAGAATTGCAGAAAAAGGCCTCTATGCGGAATTTTGGTGATCAACTTCATGTCCAGCTGAGTCATCATTTGATCAAAAGAATTAATATACCGAATCTAGAAGGACAGCTCAAACGAATACCGGAACGTTCTTTCAGAGATGCTAGAACTACGTGTGTTAATCATGACGCAGTGCATGAAGATGATCTTCAGAACATCAAGAATTCTATTTCATCAACCGGTTGACCTAATCCAGTGAGTACTCAAGGTCATGAAAGCGTTTAATTAACGATAAGCTCGTCCTCGTGAGATCATGTATGACAATTCATTGAAGAGTATAGCCCTTCTATTTTGATGCGCATGAGGAAAGTGTTAAGACTTTTAAAACAAACATCAATATTATTGCCATTGCAAAATTCAAAGACCCGGAGAATGGTGTAGATGAAGTCTCTCGGTGAAGAATTAAGAAACTTTACGCAGAGTAACCAATATTGAAGTCTTTTAAACCAAGAAACTTTCGTTCAGCCACTCAATCATCCGCTGGAGTTATGCGATGTATAGTTCGTCAAAAGGTTTGCTTGGGATTCCAAAATAATAATTATGTTAGGTATAACTCTCCTTGTATGTGATTCAAGTCCGTTACATGCGTAGTTTCTTTATTGTATATGCCATTACACCACAACTCCTAGAACAAAAGTTGAAACCCTCCATGAAAAGTAACAAAAGAAAGATGAAACTATTGTTCAAATAACCAAAGGAGAAAGATGACATAATAAGTCGCTTATTGTCATCATATGATTTGCGAACTCTTACAAGTCTTATAAATATTTCATTCAATAATATAAGCTATATATCATCGATAATTCATAATGTTAAGCCAGGTATATTTAGCTAAAAAGTTTGAAATCTCTTAATTGATTAGTCACTCGGTCGATCATGTTAATGTCATAAAACTCATGGCATCATGGCTTCTTCAAGTATCTTTAAGTCCCTGAATTTTCAGCCTTATTAAGTTGATTTCAACCGTTTAGGTTGTGACACAGTTTTCTAGCAACGAGATCGTAAAGTCAGCACCTATTATCTCAAGTCTATTGACGTTCGGTACGCGGACCACGGAACGCCGACTTGGCGATCTTAAAGTTCGACGTCATCTAGATCTGCAGGTCCTGCGTTTGATCCCTGGTTAGTGTGTGCACAACCACTGACTCTCATAACCTACGTACTTACGTAGTTACACATGTTACCCCTCGTGATGTCGACGATTTGATCTCAGTTTTTGAACTTTGTCAGAATGTCATCTCAAATTATAGGTCGTAGCAGGAAGGAAAAGATAAGACATACTAAAACCAAGGTCATCGTTCAGCATACGATAAGCCGACATTAGATCACTCCGTATTCTACGGCAAGATTACGGAAACAAGTTGAGGTGTCTCAATCTGTCTTCATAATATAGGTCAGATAGGAGTTTTACCATTTTAGTCTTCGTTGTGCTTGTTATAACATATCCGCCTTATACTTGAACGAGGACTCATTGCTTGAATCCTACATTCCAATTCTGTTCTCACGAAAGTCGAGTAAAACGGTCTGAACATCCGTTCATTCAAATACTGAAAACACTTGCGGGTAGCCCATAATGCAGCAGCAGCCTTACAGTTACTATTAGTTTTGAAGTCGCTGCTCATCATGACACCTAAATCTTTATAGTTTATTACTCTGTATAACACAAATCCACGTATTGTGTAGTGATACGAATCATCATAGTTATTTGATTGCATCACTTCACTCTTGTTAGGATTCACTTCTAATGAAGATCCTTCCATACATGCCACCAATGAGTTGAGATCATCCTGTATTACTATTCTATCTGATATACTGTTTATGGATATCTAAATCTTCATGTCATCAGCGAAGAGCAGAACGAACGACTTTGCTACAGTCGGTAATTTCTTTTCATAAAGTAAAAAGAGAAGAGAACTGAGGATTGTACATTGAGGAACTCCACTTCATACAGGTTCCCAAGTTAAGGAAGCTTCATTTTCTCTTACACCTTTTCTCCTGTCATAAAGTCACTTATTCAGTCAATGATATTATAATGGATTCTACAACTTTCCAGTTCTAATTTAAGACGCAAATGAGAAACCTTATCAAAGGCTTCACTTAAATGAATTAAAATTATATGTACTGGAATATTTTGATCTTTTGGCCCAGCCCAATCTTCTAATACAACGATAAGATTTGTCAAGCATGATAGATCTTTCCGAAAACCACGTTGTTCCCTGGATAAAAGGCTGTGCCCCCCACATAGTTTACAATAGCTATCCTAACAATCTTTTCCATTAGTTTTACAAATGCATCGGTTGAACTAACGGGCGGATAGTTACTAACTAAATCTCCACTCCCAGCATTGTATACATGACCAATTATTGCATCTTTCCAGTCTCTAGACAGTCTGGACTGCCGCAGGGACATATCAAACGGTATGGCTAAAGATTCAGCAATTATATTTGATAGGGATTTCATAATCCTAGGACGAATATCATCAGGCCCACTGGACTTATCAGGTTTGAGATGCTGAAGAGTTTTAAGACAGTGCCTTTCTCAAAAACGACAGGGTTCATCAACAAGCTGCCACAATCACAATAAGTCGTTATTCGTTCCTCATTTCTGATAGAAAATACTTTACTGAAATATTCCAATAAACCTTCGGCTTTTTCGGCATTATCTCTTGCCAATATTAGGGGATTTTCTTCTACTAAAAGTGATGGAATTCTATCACTTCTCTGCGTTTGCTTTTTATATAGGAGAATAGCTGTTTAGGATTATTTTTACAATCCCTAACCAATTGTTTTTCATATGACCGCCTAGTTTTACTTATAAACGCCTTACAGGCATTCTTATTCTTACAATGAATGGATCTGTACTGTTCTACGCCATTGGAGATGAACGTGTTCCAATGCTTTTTCCTACGTCTAAAACGTTTTTGACTTGTTTAGTTATCCGTGATGGATTGTTATCCGGTCTACATGATAACAGGTATGGTATGAAGGGGGAACTAAATTTTCTTTTAAATATATACCATGCTTCTTCAACTGATGAGCTAGTATATACTGATAAATCTGTCTTGTCAACACACTTCTAAATGATTGATATCTTAGCTCTCCATACATTTGGGTGAAACTTAACCTCACCGTATATCATGTCACTAGCTCCAGACGTGAATTACAAAACATCGTGATCGTTATTCGTTAACGGTGGAAAGACATTTAGGCTGGCAATGTCCGCAACCGCGTAAGTGATTACTAAGTCTACCAAATAAGAACCTTGGTTCGCACCAAAACGTGTGGACTTAGATCCATGCTGTACTAATGCATGCTCCAATACCGTTATCAGGAACCTATATCAAAGTTTATAGATCCTACCGTGGCCATCTCAGTCCAACCAATATCGGGTACATTAAAGTCTCCTAAAATCAAGCATCCGTTATTCGCACTTTATACTTGAATGTGCTCTAAGATGAAGTTATCGGCTAAACAAACTGAGCTGCGATAAATGATAGCGAGTATAAATATACAACATCCGGAAGTCAACTCACAGCCAGTGACTTCACATGTTCCACTATCACGGGAATCTCAAACAGAAGAGGGGATATTTAAATTATTAGTCATGTATAAAAGGACGTCACATCCTTTTATACATCTATGTCTATCACTTCTTAGGTAGTGGTATCCGGATAATTCTGGAGTAATGTCAAAGTCGTGGACTAACCAAGTTTCCGTCACAACTACAATAAGTGGTCTTAATTTTTCCACTAATGGTCCTAGTAAATAAAATTTATTTCTTAGGCTACGAGCATTTGCATATGAAACTCCTAGGGAGAGCTGCTTATCCACACAGGCCTTGGTAATATTCACTCTCAAGGCCTGACCATTCGAAAATCCACTAAGTAGAGATTCTACTCATCGTTTTGTCTACGGGATTCTAGTTCAGCTAGTGCTAACTTTCTTTTTATTCTATCCAATATAAACATCGTGTCTTACTCGAATGTCGTTACTGTCGTGACTGCAAGCGCTACTTAACACAGAAGATCATGTTACTTTTACGACCCTAGGATTACTTCAAGTAGTCTATGTGGCCGGAATTCAACACTGTCGTCCGTCTTCTTACCTATCCTAACCAATGTCTGACCTGCACTCCTTTACAGTTATCTGGTAAGATTCTACGGATGAATTCTCTGAGCCTTTCCAAATCATGCGTGTGTTGAACTTTAGAATCAAGATCGTTTTGCTCTTTCAAATATTCGACGAGATTTGATTCTTCCTAGCCACACCATGGTGAAGTTTTGTCTTGCTATCAAACTTTGGTAGTGTGTTTTGTGATTCAGAATATGAGTTTACCAAAGATTTGCCAACCAAATTGGTGCCGCTTGTAACTTTTTTCCTTTCACTTTTTTTTATCCGTACCGCCATCCATTTTTCATCACTCAGGACATCCAAACCTGGACTATTGAGAATGGTGACGGTTTTATCCTGGTCTTCAATTTCTAATGAATAAATATGATTATCCAGGTCAATATCAAATGGCACTTCACTCCTCGTTAGTTTTAACGGATATTTTTCTTTTCCTTCAGCCGCAGTCGGGTTTTTAACACTAACCGTAATAGCATGTGCTACACTGACGCAT